GTTTGGTGTGACGAGGATTCGAACCCGCGACCCTTAGATTGCGAGTCGAGTGCCTTAACCACCTGGCCATGCCGGGCCTATCTCAAATGGATTGTGGGATTTAGATTTTTATCTTCAAACGTCAAAGAATGCAAAAACAAAATATTTAATATTAATTATTATTGAGCATTTTAGTATAAAAAAGATGAAAAAGAATAACCGTTACGTTCTCAAGTAAAGTATATACAATGATCAAAAAGATTGAGAGACAATCGAAATTTTCTATTTTCTAGCTATACAAGACAAAAATAGTGTTATTAAATAATGTCAGTTGCATCCCTGACGTAATGTTTTGTGTGGAACAAGTATCAAGTTGTTGGTTATATAATCTTATATAACACTTTCCGGCGATATATTAAAGTGACGAAAATACACACTGTGTAAAGATATCTAGATTAATAGTGAAACATGCCGGGACCCGAGCAAAGACATTTGGACATTTATATGATGTTTAGAGCAGTAAGTCGACAGTTATTTGACAAAATAGGGTCGACGCAACTAACTTCTTAACTGAATTTACAGTTTAGAAAAGCAAACGGTCAGAAATAGGCTTTATAAGATTGACCTTTATGCCAGACAACCAGTGGTATGTGTTCCTCTAACCCATTGCCGCTAAACTAAACATCCTTCCCTCTCGTCAGTGGTATCAACAGCATGTGGATTAGTCAAGCGACAATATGTTCACAACCGAATCATGCCTCACATATACACATTCTGAGAGTGATTGGGACCAGATTCAACCCAAATTTCCTGGAGGTGAGATATGCATATGGCGGTGGTAGCATAATAATCTTGTCAGGGATTAATTAACCCTTATTCACTACGAGATAACGTCACAAATGTAATACGACATAAGCCAGCTAGAATCCTGTTCAAGTGTCTAAAAACTACTTGGAAGAAAAACTTGTTCAAGTGGATGGATTGTTTACCAGCATGTACATTATATTTGAATCCATTGAGAACTCTGGAAATACGTTTGGCAGCTCATTATTTATCTTCGAGCAGCGTTTATGAAATAGAAGCAACTCTGATGGAGAGTTAGCCATATTATTACAGCAACTCATTGAGTCACTGATTGTAACTATGATCATCAGTGTACAACTTGCATAAGTGATGAACATATCCCCTTATTAACAAGCATCTTCTGATCAGTTATTGGTTTTAAAAGTGTATATAAAACAGGGGTGCCATGGACATTTTTAATAACACTCTTTTTGCCCAGTCACGCCTTCCAGTGGCACAGCTATATGTCTGCGGAGTTACAACGCTAGAAACCGGGTTTCGATACTCGTGGTGGGCAGAGCACAGGTAATTCATTGTGTAGCTTTGTGCTTAACTTCAAACAAATATATATATACAAAATATGCCCTTCGATTATCCCTTATTATATACATATATAGTAAATATAGCTAAAATATTTTTACTGGTAATTTTTGAGATATTTCTGTTTTGTTTTTTTAGAATTTATATGGAAAAATGTCGTTTCACTCTAACTCGCATTATGTACGTTTTATTTAAATACTTGTTCTAATAATGCGGCGAATTTGATAAAAGGACATATTTTGTTAATCTAAAAGTAAATGTATCGAAAATATGAAAATAAACATAAACGATGTCGATACCTTCAACATTCTATAACAGTAAGCGTATTAAAATATGCTGTAATTTTTTTATTATTTAATTGAAATGATTTAAAGGGAAAACCTTTGGCAACAAAATCAGGAAACAAATAATCATCGTTAGCTTTTTTCAATTATTTACTCATGTACGTTAAAGCACTTAATATTTTCCTTATTTATAAAATACAGATAAACACAAAGAAAATAAAAATATCTTAATATTTAATAGAACACGTGCAAGTGTTAAGAACTTACGAAATTTCTCCAAACGGTGAGAAAGCTTCTCTAAGCTGTGTTGTCTCAATTTCTGGACTCAAGTCTCCTACAAAAATATGGTGGTGTTCTAGCAGGAAGAAAGAATGAAACAAAGTTTGTTTTTTACTTCTGGTTGTGAATGAGATTTATGATAAAATTAATAATGGTTGTGTATCTAAGATCAAACAATTTTACGTATATTCAAATTAAACAACTAAACAAGGATTTGATTATGGAAATTGGAAACTACTTAAGAAATAAGGAGGAGTGGTGTGATTTGGATATGACAACCTTATAATGGCTCTATTTGTAATGAAAATTGCACTGTAGGGCTATTATCAAGATGCACAGCTGTCAGGTAGACCATTACTGGACGTGGCGACATGGAAAGGTTCCAAAATAGTTTTAATATAACATACTTAACCTCTGCGTCCTTTATTGTTTGGTCAATTATAATTACTCTCCTCGCTCTTCTAAAGTCTATATAGCAATTTCATATTGCTATGTTGTGCAGACAGTGGTGATTACATAAACTAGTTGATCTTTCAGAAACCTTTTTATAGCTAACTTGTATACAAACTGATAGTGTGTCCAAATCTTGCCAGTACGAGTCTAAACACAGTTAAATGAGTTACCATTCTTCCACATGTTTGTGCTGTTTCCTACGTCAAAATCCTCCATCGCTATCAGCAAGAAAAATCGTACATATTTTTACACAAACATAAATGAAATTGGAGCAATCACCAAAATAAGAAACCTGAAGGTAAAATGGGGACGCTATCTTACCAGGACACTTGAAACATGCACATAACTAAGGAATATATATTCCTCGAATTGTATTCAAGTGTAATTGTTATTATATTGTAATAAATATTTGTGTAATTAAGTTTCTGAACAAAAACAGAAACACCTGTCCAACAAAGGGGCAATAAAGTAGCACAGCATTGAGTGGTTTGAACAGGAATAATACACATTTTTCAATAACAAGATCTTCAATTCCCGAAGTCAAGTACAAAGTCTGATTTCTAATATACTCCATAATGATTCTATGGGACTAAGATGACCGAAGGCTTCTTCATGCTTGGTAAAATAGTTTGAATATATGAATTATTATTTTGAAATAACCCACCACCAGTCGGATAAAACTGCTGTAACCAAGATGAATCTCTCTTCTACACTCTTGCTTTGATTATCTGTTATCTTGCCTTTTAGGGCGATGAATGGATCAAGTCGATACCAAGAAAACACAGCGACTGTATAACAAAATTACCACTCTTTAGATTTAGAACTAAATATTTGAGGTATACGTTTCTTCTTCGGGCTGTATGCCCTCCTACATGCCCAATTCATGAGAGAATGGTAAATGCTAAATCATCTGATCAGACAGCTCTTTTCCCAATGATTTTCTCCCGAGCCCACAGTTTGAAGTAATTGGATTAATGCATGTCCACTTACTTCTCAAGATTAATAAATGGTTTTTGTAAGATCGCTCTAACACAGTATTCCAGATAAATGAGCTTCAGTCAGCTTCTTTACTTTGACACTAGTTGATAGTGTTAGTATTGAGCTTTGAGAATATTTTGGTTGCTCTATTGTGATCCTGTTTCCTTACATGATGTGGCTTAATATTAGGTAGTCTGAACAAAAACATAACTTTCTTGGCATAAACTCTTTTAAAGTTTTATGAATGACACTACAGAGTAACATTACCTCATAAGCATCAATCTCAATGAATATGTTTACAGATGTATTTGGCAGGCGGTCCCTACTGTCATCCCTCTGTTGGATCATTCAAAGATTATATGAACTCCGAAGCTAAAGCAGTAAAGGCATAGCTAGTCTTTATATACACGTATTCTAGACAACTGGGAATAAGATTGTTTATATCTCGCATTTTCAATGTGCAAGATTACATTACAGGTTCCGGTTTGCAGGCGTTTTCCTTTTAGTTCATCCTCAATAAATACATATTTATTGCAAATTTAATCCCTCATTTCACATGAAACAAATAAATAAATCAGTGAAGTCCATTTTATAAATGAATGAAATAAGTTTTAAATATGATGTTATTTTAGCTTAAAAAATATTACGTAGAACAGTTTTACTGCAAACTGGCACTGTTCTAGTATTCTACCATTGAACTAAATATGAATTTCAATATAATTATAACTTACAAATAAGAAACAAAGTGTCTATTTTAAACCTACTCTAGAATATTAGACTTAAGCAAAGATTCCTTTCAAAATGAAAATTGTGTTGAATGCTTATGCAATTAGGATATATTGTGAGTACAATATAAATACTCGATAACAACAGCAATCACCCATACTAAATCAACAGGGAATCCTCAGTAGCCGTGGCTGTGATTAGATCTCAAATCGGTCAAGAGATGGAGTTATGAGCTAAAAGTTTGTACTTGAAAAAAAACTCAGAGCCAATGTATGAGCCGTTATGCCTCGGCTAAAAATACGGTACACAGAAATGCAATTATTCCTGGAACTGCATAATTCTAAACATATTTTTGCTATAAGCAAATTTCGTTTTTGTACAATTTACATGTTAACAACAAGTGTATCAGCCTCAGCACAAACATTATTTCTAATTTGTCAAAGAATAATAATCTAAACTTCAATATTAAAGCTACCACATACAAAATTGCAGTTAAAAAATAAGTTCAAGCACTTATTTCACCATTTTAAAAAGATGTTGGAAGATTAGAAGAGAAGAACGTCTGGTAATTTTAAATCACGATTACAATCAAAACAGGTACGTATAAAGCATGTTGAAAAACGTAATAACTAAACATGTGTTTTAGATTATCAAGACCCAACGACTCAGCAATGTACAATATTACACAACTCCAACATTATCGCCCAACAAAAAACAGATTACAGAAGTAATTTATCTACACTACTTAAGATAATTAAAGGATAATTAAACTTTATCATAACATTTTACTATGAAAAGCACTATTATAAAATAACGATAATTAATCCCCCAGTCAACTTATTCCAAATCAGGCATCTGATGACCTGAAATGCGAATAACTTATCATTCAGCCTGTGTTTGTAAGTGAACATTTGGTAGAAGTAGCTTTACGTTCTTAACATTCACAACATTTCACTTCAATATGGAGTGTAGTCATTATGAACAGCAGCGGCAGCCTCGCACCGATGTTGCATGCTTAAAACCACTGTTGAGGAGGTCATTAACTATACCAGTTACTCTTCTGAAACAGCTGTTTCCAGGGTATCTGGAGTAACTTGAGTGAATGCGACGTATCTATACATGGTCGACGTAGAAAAGCAAAGTAATGAAGTCGACCACTCAGGTCAATCCTGTCTTCTTCATTACAAATGTCAATCAGTTCAGCATGGTGAGGGAACATTCATTAGGCTGAAGTCAGGACCAATTTCACTAGCATAAAGATGCACTAAGGTTCGTAGATTCGTAGATCGTGGTCCCTATAATGTGTGGCAATAATAATATTTTTAGGCAAGACATTTATTCGTTAGTTTTTTCAATTTAGCACAAAGGTACTCGAGGACTGTCTGTGCTAACTATCCCCAAGTTTGAAGTAACAGACTAGAAGGAAGACAAATAGTTAGTCAACTCCCTACCAGTTCTTGGGCTACTCTTGTCAGACCGAATAGAGGGATTTGACCATCTCTCTTATTATGCACCCATAGCCCCAAAATGCGAAACGCATTTTTTGTTTGGCTGTAATGGGTCATGAACCAATGAATCTCAGATCCACAGTCCGGTACGCTAACCGGTGGGTCGCGCTCGGCTAATTACGCAAGACATAAAGACTGGTTCTTCCATCAATGTTTATTATTATACACATAATACTTCCACCACTGTCATTTACGTTAAGTTCCTTGTGTAATAGAAGTTATATCTGGTTCCAAGCTCTTCAAGTGAGTATATGCCTGTTATCTAGTTAGAGGATGAAACATGACACACCTACAATGAAGAATGTGTGTTCATTAGGCTTGTATTTAGCAACACTGCTCTTTGAACCATGCAGTGAACAGTTTTTTTAGGCTTGGCCACGGTTTCTGAACATTTTAAAACACTACCCTTTGTTTCACTTCAAAATGACAACTGAGACAAAATTAGACGAAATCACTATAGATACAAAGCTTGTTTGTTTGTTTTGAATTTCGCGCAAAGCTACACGAGTCGTCCCTAATTTAGCAGTGTAAGACTAGAGGGAAGGCAGCTAGTCATCACCACCCACCGCCAACTCTTGGGCTACTCTTTTACCAACGAATAGTGGGATTGACTGTCACATTATAACGCCCCCACGGCTGAAAGGGCGAGCATGTTTGGTGGTATGCGGATTCGAACCCGCGACCCTCAGATTGTGATTCAAGCGCCTTATCCACCTGGCCATGCCAGGCACAAAAAAAAGAAGGAAGGTAGTAGGACAAAGTACTGTTTAAAATTCCATTATTATATGAAAATCTTGCATACGAAAAAGTGTTCGATAGTTCAAATTTCGCAGCACCAAGACAAAAATATATTTGAGGATTTATTGTAAAACAACGAAATATGTGACAATTGGCTTCTTTGTAGATCATAACAGCGAAAATGTTAAAACACAAAACACTTGCCATAAACTTTCGTATCCATCTTTCATAAAATTTAAACTAAGGAAATGCCAATATTTGGAGATTTAATGAAGCTGGAAACTAGTTAGATTTGATTTTTTTTTCTATTTTTTGTGATTGCTTCACGCTTAGATTTTGATGAGGACCATTCATCATCAACAGTAAAGCTTCCAGAGCCAGTTTCATCAAACTTTTTTAATTATAATAATACGGTACAATTCAAGTCGCTGCTGCATAACTTACAACTTTTCGTCAATTTTATTACCAACTTATCCTAATACTAAAAAAAAAAACAATGACATTTTCTAGAGTCTGGAACACAAAATAGACAAATTTGCTCATGAAATAAAATACATAATTAGCTTTAAAATGGGAGGAATGTCTGTTTTATCATTTTTTTCAACATTTCGCGCAAAGCAAAACAAGGGCTATCTGTGAATAGCTATCCCTAATTTTGAATTTATAGACTAGAAGGAAGTTATCTAGTTGTTACGACAGCGGAAGTCACGCGACTCTGGGAGCATGCGCGCTGGAGTTTCTCGAAGGATCATGAATTTTCTTGGCAACTCTAGTTTGTTCCAGGCGCCCTCTTTTTTTTTAGTATATAAGCCCGGCAAATAAAGCCAGCGAAAAAAAGATAGAATTGCATAGATTGAAGAGATAGATAATTGTGTCAAGGGAACAGCAGGCACCGTAAGTAAAGTGTGTGAATCACTGTGATTTATAGCGTGTGTTGTTAAGTTTAAAGTGACTTTGGAAATTCTGTGTACTATAAAGTTGTATCAAGAAAGAATAAAC